TGGACTCCTGTTCTCTTTCCTGCCAGAGACAGCCCATAGCTACCAAGAGGCCCTTTCCTAGGCTCTGGGTAAAAGTGGATCTGGCTTATTGGTGAGCCCGTCTTTGAATGGGACTAAGGAGAAAATGCTAGGTTGGTGAGGGCCCCATGATCTGACTGAAGGCCCCAGCCTCAGACCTAGTTTCCTAATAACACCCACCCTGCTCATATTGCAGCCAGAATGAAAAGGTAAATATGCCCCTCATCATATAATGGACAGCGGCCACTAGCTGAGATACCCACAGCTTAAATTTTACCTGGAATAATTCAGACAGTTGAAGTTTAGACAAATTTATTGAAACATACAGGGTGTTAGCAAAGAAATCATTCAGTGATATGTTACATTATGCCACCACCTTAAATTGTATACTTTAAAAATTATAAATATATATTTCATAACTAAGCCTTTGGCCAAAAAAAATAAAAGGGAAGTCATTTAGCACATTTGTGAAAGGCCAATAGGAAATGAATTTTGAACATTAGAAAGATAAAGTCACTGGATTAAACATCAGAATCTAGAATCCCACTGTGTTGAAGGTAGAAGTGTCTGTGCAGAGCTAGTCAATCAGAAGAGATGGGGCAGGCACACCTGTTGGAGGTGGCAGAAGAGCTGGCAGGACAGCAGGGACAGGCCGGTCAGGTGAGCATGTCCCAGAGACAGCAACAACAGAGAGCAGTCCAGCAGGCTGTGAGGCAGGAGGATGTGCCCAGGTCATCCCTTCTTTGGTCTTCTACCACGTACACTGGAGTGGAGAGAGGGGAGAGGGTGAGAATGAACAGCACAAACTTTGGGCCCTACAGAGCCCATGCCTCCCAGACCAGGTGCCTTTGCTTACGCCGTTGTGGATAATGGAGGGAGGGAGGGGCTGAGCTCCTCAGCTACTTCCCCTCCTCCTCCGGACACTGATTCCTGCAGGGACAGGCACTAGGGAACCTATACTGCTGCCTGGCACCAAGGCAGCCAGAATTTAGATAAGAAATGTCCTTTGCGATCTGGCCGGTGTTGGCTGACCCAACTTGGTTTATAAACCAAGCAACACTATTAGTATGTCCTGTACCCTATAGATGTCTGGGGGAATGTTTCTTTAGATACAACTAAGCTCTTTCCCAAAAGACAGAATAACCAAAATCTCCTAGAAAGGTGCTTTAGTCCCTAAAAGAATAACCAAGAATCTTAGTTTTTCATACCTGGGCAATGAACAGTATCAGAATGTGCCCCGACCTCTAAACTTTCACACGACACCATGGAAGGCAGGGAGGAAAACCTGGTCTAGTGGGAGCAACGCCCGGAGCCTAACATGCTTCCTTTTTCTCAGAATGGAGTTGGAAATCGAAGCCCTGCCAGGACTAAGTGCTCTGTTAAGAGATTTGAGTGCAAAACAAACCCATAGGTCAAGAAGGACCCCAACTGATTTGCGGCCTCCCTTCCCGTAAGGACGTCCTTAAAATGCTGGTCTTCTGTGGCCTCAGAGAATCTGGGCCACTTTTAAGAAAAATCTCAAAACCACCACCATCAGACTTAGTTACAGGCAGTTAGGATTTTAAACTTTCTGAAAGTTCATGAATCTTGTAAGTTAAACCAGTCCTTTGGCAATCTTCTTTCAGTTCTATTTTTTGCGTATCTATTTTTATATCTCCTCTCCGGGTAACTTCCTCTCTCTGGAGCCTAGTATAGTAGCTAGAATATGCCGGGTTAGTAGTGAGCTTTCCAAGTTCTCCCATTGTATCAGTGGCCCTCCACCGAGATATCCCCTTCCCTTCTCTTAATCTCAGTGTGCTTTCATTTGGCCCCACTCAGCATCACAGGTGAAGTTGTTCAGGGTTTGGGACACAAGGCTCATCACCAGGAAAGCTTAGTTGAAGAGAAGATAACCCATTTGTTCTGAGGCCCGATAAAGGTGTGTCACCTTAGTCCCAACAGTAACCTTGAGATAGATTTTCCATCATTCCTATTTCACATGTAAGGAACTCTAGGTTTACAGAGCTTAAGTTTCTTGTTCAAACACACATGACCAGGCAGGGACAGGATCTGAACTCAGGCCTTTGACAAGCTAGGCCTGTCCAGGTCCAACTAGGATAGAAAAGGGAGTAGGAGTGAATGGGCTCCAGGGCAGTCCTCTCTCACACCAGTCAGAGCCCACCCTACCCACTGAAGGCCCGGGCACTCCAGACTCAAGTCACTGCAGCAAGGTGTCACCTGCCATCTACCTAGATGACAGGGAGACTGAGGACACAATTGGCTGTGGAACCCCTTGAATAATCCCTTCCTGTAGTTGCACTGGCTCTGCTGCCCCGGGATAGAAAGGCCCCCTCCCCGCCAGCTCTAGAAGTAGCCTGCAGATCCAGGCCTGAGACCCAGCCCAAGGTTGGGTTGCCATGTGAAAGGCCCGCTGTTTCTCTTAAGCTGCCATTTACTGAGGTGTTCACAGATGCCGGGACCAGTGCTGAGGCCTTGCATACACAGTGCCACTCAGTCTTCCCAACCCTGTCCTCACCGCTTCTGTCCTGTCAGAACCACTGAACCACAGGAAGCTTAGTCGGGAACACAAAAATGTCCCGTCTCACTTCCTGTGTCACTTTCTCCTTTAGTTCCGTTTGTCCTTGCCAGGGTGTATTTCACAGGACATACTCCGAAACCTGGGGCGGGAAGTACTCTGTGCTCATTACTCCCAGACGCTGTCCACAGAAGTCAGAAATAACCAGTCTGGCTGTAACACAGAGGACTTAGACCAGACGGCTGCGTCGGCCTCCACAGGGGTGGTTAGTGCTGTACATACCTTAGAAACCCGAATCACTTATTTTCTGGAGCACCAAGTCTTCCAAAGCCCTTGTGACTTTTTCCTTTCCATTAGCCGAGAACAGAATCTCTGCCCCCAAACTGTCCAGAAGATGGGGTGGTGGGAGAGTCCATGGGGGCCAGGGCAGGTGTGGAGGTAAAAGTGACTTGCTCTGAGGAAGACCTCACAGTTCCTCATAGTGTACCCACTGTGGGCCCAGAAATGGCATATTTTACATCTGTGTCTTCCTAGATGCCTTACCTACGTGGAGGGTCCGAGGGTGCCTGCTGCACTGAGCTGCATGGCCTAGTCTGCCCCGGGACACCACTGCTCCTCACCTTCCACTCGTCCCCATCCCTGCCACCCAATGGATGACTGAGCGCTGCACTGCCGCCCTGGTTGACCTGCCAGTGTGCAGCCCCTGCTGCCTGAGTCCTGGGCCAGGAGACCCACCCTGGGTACTCGAAGCCAGGGGACGCATGTGCACTGAAGTCACTAGCGGCATTGGTTACAGCAGGGGCTGAGGTGCAGGTGATGCCAGTGTACGTATTCCCTACCCAGGCCACATGGCCTTCCTGGCCACTGGTCTCTTCTGGCATGCAGGACGAAAAAGGGGCAGAACTATGGCTATGTTAGATGTTAAACATTAGAAGAAGCTGGGTGAACGGTATACAGAAACTGCCATTTCTGTAACTCTTATGTAAGCGTAAAGTTATTTGAAAATAAAAGGTTTAAAAAAAGGAGGGGGCGGGGAGGGAGGGTCAAAAAGCAGCAGGGGTTGTGAGCAGGCAGTTCAGCAGTCAGTGCCCAGGTACAGGGAGAGGTTCTGGTGCCAGCAGGGGCTGCTCAGATTGAGCTCCTTGGAGATCAAGTGCCCCCCTGTGGACAGCTTGGGGACAAGGAAGGGTAGGGCCAATCTGTTTACATACACATCAGCCAAAAGGCTAACCCTCCTATTCGCTGTCCAGTGGTTTGGTAGCCAAGACCACCCTGCCCAGCCAGTGCCAGAAGCCTGTGCCCCGGACCCAGGCATTGAAGGGACTCTATTCCTAGAAAACTGCAGCTGAATTGGAGACCAGGTTCAGCCCAACCAGCCCTTCGGCACCAACCCTCAGTGTTTTCAGCCCCAGCCCAGGGGGATGGATATGAGCATAGAGTTTTGACCCAGAGGCCCAGACTAGGTCAGAAAGGCACAGACTAGTCTTGGGTGCAGAGCAGCTTCTGTCAAAGGCTCTCACCCTCTTGCCTCTGTGCTGGAGGCAGAGTAAATAGAAAAAGATGCTTGAAGGCCTACAGCCCCTGTGCCAAACTGCCTGCCCACCAAGCCCTGGGGTCTTCTACAGGGCCACCCGCCTACTACAACCTAGCCAGACACAAACCCGCAGCCCAAGTTCTAGGACTACTGTAGTGTGCAACCGCAAAGGTGACGTTCACAAAACCTGGTTCTGGGCAGGCAGTAGGAGTTCCAGGCCACATAGGGGCCAGGGCAGGGATGACTCACAAGAAATGTGAGCAGAGGCCTTTTCAGCTGAAGGCTCCTTAGTCAGCTCCTTCCTGGAATCTGAAACCTTTACTTGCTCAGCTCAGACATTTTAAATGATTAATCAGATGCTGTTGGTAATGGAGCCTTATAGCCCATCCCTTTGTGAATGCATCTGTACACAGTCACAACCCAGGAAGGAAACGCAAATAGAGACTGGGGCCTCCCACGAGTTCTGACATCTGGCGCCCTCTTGCTCTAGAACAGTGGTTCTCTACCTTGGCTGCACATTAGAATCACCTGGGAATCTTTAACATCCTGATTTCTGGGCCTCATCCTCCGGAAATTCTGTTTGTTACTAATGTGGCCTCGCCCCATAACAAAGAAACAGAATTTCTGGAGGATGAGGCCCAGAAATCAGGATGTTAAAGATTCCCACGTGATTCTAATGTGCAGCCAAGGTAGAGAACCACTGCTCTAGAAACTAGGAAGTCGCACCTTCGCCTCTTGCGGCCCAGACCAGGAATGGCACCCAGGGCTGCTCCTCAATTGCTAAGACCACCACAGCCACTGCACTTTCCAAGCAGTGCCCCCAGCGGAATGACAGCTTTGCTAGAGGCAGGAGCCCTTGGAGCCTTTGCTCACCTCAGCCCACACTGAGAACCTGTCAACAGACACCCAGTCAGCCTTCCCAGAGGTATCAGAGCAGGTGGAACAGCCCTCCTCCTGCTCAGACCAAGGTAGGGAGGGAGGAAAAATCTTTAGGAGTAGGTAAAATCTCAGGGTAGCAGTAGGTTGGATTCTGTCCCTTCCACGCAGGACCAGAGGGAGAGCACACAACTTGTCATGGATGTACATGTGTAGTGGGATCACTTATTACTCAGCACGTGGCTGCACTGGTGAGAAAACACGTCCTAGAGGCAGTGCCCCTGTGTCACCTGTGCAAGCTCGTGAGCTCCAGGTTAAGTATGTG